ACTCATTGAGTGACGTCTCACCCCCGTCAATATTTTTCCCAGATGAATAGCTAAAATGGGTGAAGACCATGGGAGGAAGCAAGTTAGAGTTTGACATCGATGAGGTGGGCGGAAGGCTGAACTCTCCACAATGTTTTCTACGGAAAATTTGAAGATGGGTTTTTTTTTCAGGACAACAATTATGGACCAAGAGTTTGAGGATTTTGATAAATAGTTGACGATGTGCATACATTTTTATGGGTTTTAAATGGAGAAAATCAGTTGGGTGTTACAGTTCATGCTCTAGATCATCGATCTTCAATTTGGGAGTTTTGACTCCCGTATGATCTGGATTTGCAGTTGTGAGGGAAATCATTCCTAGGCCTCATAGAAACTTGTTCCGGGTGGTGGCAACAGTCGAAGCATCCCTTAGATCAACGATGGAGCTCTCAAAGCTAGAATTATGTTCCGTCGAAAAAAACAGTCTTTGAACTCCAGTGGCTTTTGGAGTTTTGATTTCCTTTAGGCTCGTCAACATGTAGCATCGGGCTACCAAAATTGGCATTAACTCCTTGCTCCCTCTTTGAACCACTCGATTCTCCATTCTCCTTGGCCCAATTCAGCTCCATCTATTGTTGATCTTCTCCAAACTTCAGGTGGAGACAAAGGCCTGAGCAAAAATTTCGGACCTCCATGTCCGGCCTTGTAACAATTGCTCTGACCATCATGAGTTACTCCTCGATCAAACTATCATGGACGACCCAGCAAGATAAGAGCTGCCTGCATTGGCCCAATGTTACAAAGAATCTTGTCTTTGTACTCTCCCATTTGAATTTAACCATGGCTTGCTTGGTAACTTTAATTGCGACATAATCGTTCAACCTATGCAGTGAGCAATGCAGTTAAAAGCCCGATTCTACCTAGAAGCGAAAAATGGGTAAAATCGTAAAACGTAGAATCAAAGCGTAAAAGCGTAAGTTTTTTATGCACCCTCTAAAATAGCTAAAATATGTTAAGTACAACATATAGTATGTAAAATGTGAGTGTGTAGATTTTAGATAAGTGAATAACTACATGTAATTCACAATTAAAATGTACTAGCTAACACATAAACTAATTTGTGTTGACTCAAAAGTAGAGAAAACTCATAACATCTTAATAATAAGCTCATAAACGTAGATCGTAACGTGTAAACAAGCTTGATAATGCAAATTCTCATAAGCTGGTTTGATTTTACATAATTACATACGATCAATTACCCATAAACTTTTATCGTAACCCAGGTAAGAGCCACATGTGAAGATTAAGGGAGAAGACTGATAGAAGGTCAGCGGCTGTTGAGAATACCATTAGGTGTCTTTTCAACCTAATGTGAAGCCCCTATCTCGACACTAGTTGTAGAACGAGTGATGAATCATGTTTTCCTTTTTTTTCTTTTTGTTGATATGTCTCCAAAATTACATCATTTTGGGCCAATTAGCACATTTTTATGAGATGAACAAAATCGTATAAAAACGCTTCAGAATCACGATTTTACCGATTTTACCCATGTTTTTACCAGTTTTTGTGACTCAGCGACTTTAGGTAGAAACTGAAACATTTCGGTGGCCTGGATACGTAAAAACGTAAGTTTTTATGTTTTAATGCGCGATTTTGACTGCACTGGCAATGAGTAAAGCTGTAAGTGCTTCGTTGTGCTCAATCTGAGCTTCATTACTACTTGTAGGCTTATAACGTTGGTGCAGCTACCACCATCAACAACCATAGCTTGTACTTTCCCATCAACTAGAAAACGTGAGTGAAATAAGTTTTCATGTTGCTCTGACTCTGATCGAGATTTAATGGTGAGAACTCGATAATTTATTCCAAGAAATTTCCCTGCTGGAGGGATCTCTACAGCAATGTGCTCATCAACGTCAGAGTTTGACTCAACTTCAGCTTCTTATGGCTTCTCTTCTTCATCCTTAGAGGAGTATTCTCCATCTCGAAGTCCCAGTGCTTTCTTGTTGGGGCATTGGTTTGCTTTGTGACCTCGTCCCAAGTACTTGAAGCATTGTATGCTCTTAGTTGATCCTTCTGGTTCCTCTTGCATCACTAGAGCAATGTTCTGGCATGTAGGTTTGCCACCTTCTTGCCTAGGAAGTTGGTAACTGGTCTCCAGATTAGAGTTTTTTGAAGGCATGTACCTTCTTCCAGTGATGAATTTCAGTTGTTTCTCCACCTTAATTGTTAGGTGAATCACCTTCTCCAAACTCCACAAATTGGCGAAGTTTAATTTTGTGCTGAATTTCTTGATTGAGGCCATGTAGGAATCTTGAAATCGTGGTCTCTTTGGCTTCTCTCACGTCTTCTCTCATCGAGATCAATTCAATATCCTTAGAGTATTCATCAACTAACCTCAATCCTTGACGAATTCCTTACAACGATCCATAGAGTTCTCTTTGATAGTACCGTGGCACGAATCTGTCTCTCATGATTTCCCTCAGCTTGTCCCAAGTTTCCATTGGAGGTTGCAAATTCCTTCGTCGTCTAAGGTGTGTTTGTTCCCACCAGAGTGCAACATAATCTGTGAACTCGTACATAGCAAACAATACCTTTTGTTGCTTGCTGTAAATGCCACACTAGAAGAAGAGTATGATCTTCCTCTCCCAGTCCAGGCAGGTTGAAGCATGGTTAGTTCCACGAAATGAAGGAATTGAAAGTTTAATTCCCCGTAACTCAGCAACTGCACCTTGCCCTGTTTCCGATGGCCTTCCACCATGATCACAAAATTCTTGATAACGATGTACTTGGTTGTGATATGTGTTGATCAATATGCGCTTCAAGTTTTGAATCCTCTCGTCTAGGGCTTGGTTGGTTCCAGTTGGAACATGTTGACCTTGATTCCCTTCTAGAATCATATTGTGCCCTGCAGTATTGTCCGACGGAGCTGTATTGTTCTCTCCGACTTGAGCTCAGCTAATTGACAATTGATTTGGTCAAATTGAACATGGAATGTTGCATTTAACTGCACCATGATTGTCTGCAACAACTCAGACACATTAATCTATTGATCAATCCTGACTAGTTTGTCACATTACCTATCGTCTTGACTTCTTCCTCGCCACTATGTTGAACCAATCTCTAATACCACTTGATATGACCTCAATGGAATGGAGGTTAAGGACCAGAGCTGCACAGCCAAACTCGATCAATCATAGGGTTTGATTGACCAATGAAACTCGAACCAAAAACAACCCAAAAACCAAGCTATCTGGATCAGATACGGGTGAAATTGAAGTGCAATCTCACACCTGCGAGAAGGCTTTGTCAATTTTGGGTAGATGCTCGCCACAATGAAGGATGTTTTACAATTTGATGTTTAGGATTAGGATTCAAAATTAAAGGTTTGGTGCTTAGGGTAATGCATTGATTAGTTATATCCCACGTTATACATCATATTAAACTAAATACCAATCAAAATTTAAAATTTGATATTTTAATACTAATTTAAGAATTTGGTGCATAGTATACTCTCATTTTAGTGAGTGCACCAACCTTAATATAGTCAAAAGAATACATGGTATCAAGTACTAAAGATTTTGCTTTTAGTAAAAAGAGAGCACCCTCGATCTCATATTCAAGTACGTCTATGAGCATCCCCGTGAGGATCTCAAACGACCACTTGTTCTGCTTTTTGTTGCTTTCCAAATAAATGAATGCAAGTAGCTCATAATTAAGCATATGTGCAATGTGCAAGTTACAATGTATGGTTTCGCAACAACCATATCATCATGAGGTGGTATTTTGGGCTAAATCATTTGCATTGACTCATTCGTAGTTATTTTTGGGCTAAATCATTTTCACTAACTCATTCTGAGTTATTTTAAATAATACGACGTGTAGTTATTAAAAGATTTCGAATATAACTTAGAAATACACATTTAAAAATAGCATATTATTTTGCTCTCAAATACCATAGGCAACCAAACGACCCATTGATTTAACACAAACATAGAATGTATTGGAACTTACTCGTCACCCTCCCATATATATTTCACCTTATCAAGCCTTATTTGGAACACAACCATATTATTCTTACTTGAGAACCTCGGCATACCTCTTTTGTGCTCCTACCTCCAATTCCAAAGGGATGTGATAAGTTGCACGATGAATTCCCAACATGTAACCTTCTTCAGAGTACCACATTTGTGAGACAATCAATTTTGAGTCATTGATATTAATTAGTCATTCAAATTATTAAAAAAGTACTGCATATAGTACTATTGTTTGGTGGAAAGTAAATTATATTTCATCGTCAAATTCAACCATCCATGGGATCCCATGTAATAATTTTGAATGGATATATTTTATTTTAGGATTCCCCATATTGGCCAGCATTTCTTTCTGAGCACTTATACTATACTATAAAGTGTTGGTGCTTTAATGTACAATTTAAAGTTGTACCATAACGTTAAATGTATAAGTTCAGGTTGTACCATAAAGGAATTTGTGCTCTTATGTTATGGTACAACTTTATAACTTAAAGTTGTACCATCAAATATAAGTACAAGTTTAAGTTGTACCATAAAATAATTTGACAAAAGAGTATAGGTACAATCTGAAGTTGTACCATAACGTTAAAGGTACAACTTTAAGTTGTACCATAAAAGGAAAAACCTATAGCACCAATACTATATAGCATTGTAAAATTCCTCTTTCTTTCTTGGTAAAAAAAATAAAGGATAGTGTTTCTACAAAGAAGCGATTTGGCCCTCGATGAATGCTTTTGCATGTGTATTTGCAATAACACTAGTCATGAATCATGCATGATTCACCCCTAGTTCATAAAAGGCAAAATCACACATAATTCTTGTCTAGAAGAGATCCCATTCACTGATCAATAATTATTCATCAAAATAGACTAGAAGTCGTTGTAATTGAACTGAAATTGAAGAGGTTCAAAAGAATTTATCAAAACCAAAGGGATTGCAATGTTAATTAGCACTGCTCCTTTCTCTCTTTCATCTTTATGAACAATATTATAGTGCTTCAAAAGCAGCCACTAAGGCAAGAACATCATAACCATCACAAAAATTGCAGCCACCACTATGTCTATGACATGCACACTCATACTTGACATCCCTTATCTTCTCATTTCTATTGTTCTTCTTCTTCTTCATCTCTATTGCAATTGGAACTCTAACCCTCATGCCAATCTTCACCGAAGGAGGCTTGACACCATCAAGGCGACTACTGTTCTTTGGGTTCATAACAACCCACTTCTCAATTTCCATGCCAGGCGCCTCCATGACACTTTGCCATGGAAGCTCAGCTCTACCAACAAGTTTCGAACCCCCTAGCCCGAGGATGGTATTCCCCGTTGACGATCTCCATCTCAGCTCGAAAACCACACTACTTGTTTGGAGGGCATTGATGGAGTCTTGAGTGCCTGAGCAATCCAATGAGAAGGACTCATCCCATGAAAGATGATCACTGGTACTCGGGATCTCGTTTGTATCGAGCTGGATTTTTTTGTTGTTTCCAGCCGAGAGATAGCATCTTAGAAACAAGTTTCCTTTGGATTTGTAGGATGACTTGTTCATCGTCATGAACTCCTCCACATTTTTAGCTTGGTGAATCACTATCTCACAAGAGAGTTGTTGCTGCTGATGATCGTAAGAGAAAGTTGGAGCCATGTGTGCTTTGTTATCTAGAACCCAAGGAGGAGATTGAGAGACCAGATTTGTTTTGAGGTAAAGATTAGGGTTTGAGGTATGAAGCTAATGGTTTAGTATGTGATGTTTTGTTGTTCTTTGGTGGGATTAAGGAATGTGTGTTGTGATGGTATATATAATCTGTGTGAGAGGTGGGAATTTTCTAAGGGAATGAGAAAGGTGGGATGTTTGAGCAAGTGGTGGAGGTGCTTATAATACACTTTTTTAATAATTTTTGTGAGGAAGCTTTGAGGAAGGAAATTGGAAGTGGGATAATATATGCCTAGTCACTAGAGAGATCTTAGTTGGGTTTGGACCAATGAGAAGAGTAGTGGAGATAAATCTAATAATAATGACTCAAAACATAACCAAAGGTGATTTAGATGGACATGCATTAATCTAGATTAATTTGTTGTATAATTACTCGTGGGGCATATTTGTTTTGTTAAATCATTAAACGAATTAACTGCTTTTGGAGTTAATGAAGAGTTGTTGACCCCAAGTTGCAATAGTGATTCACATATTTGGATCTCCAAAGATCACCCAATGATTTTGTGTCTATTGTGTGTAGTTCTCCTTTTGCTTCAAGTTGTAATTTGTTTATGAATTTATATCTCATTAAAATGAATTTCAGTATGATAATTGGCACTTCCAAGTTCCAGTATAAAAGTGACTAAGGGTAGTTGGGTTTTTGGAGGTGTCTTTTTTCACGGGTATCTAAATCGATTTTCATGCCTTCATCGATCGGTAATCAAATTTGCAATTAACGTATAATCAAATTTTGTTGGTGCTTAAGCCAATTGCAGTAGAGATTATCTACTTACTGCATATATGAGCAAACATATGTGTTACTTCTTTGGATCCACGATGAGCGGATTTTTTTTTTCTTTTATAATGACGTTAAGTGAATAATTATCATCTACACTCTTTGCAGATATGATAAAGCTAAACTTTAGTCTCACATTAGTGTCACCCATTTGGTTACAAGATAAAAATGACTCATTGGACATAATAAAAGCCACCAAGTGATTTCCCAAGTTCATGGTCCAAGTCCAAAAGGAGCCTACCAGTCCAGCAGATCATGGCTTGGTCCACAATGTCTACCCGGTCAAGAGTCAACACCTTCTCCCTTTAGAGTTGAAAAGAACAAGTCACTTTGTGTGCTGTGCTGATACTTTGCAGGTAGCTAATAATTTGAGATTTTTTCTACAGATGCCATCATTAAACTAAAAATTTTTAAAAATATCATCATTTCAGAAAAATTTAAAACATACACTCTTTCACAAAAAATTGCCACATGGGGATCGGTTAGCATGCTAACCCTTCTAAGGAGTTGGAAAAATGACACCCCTATTAATTATAGTTATTTTTTATATTAAATTCGTGTAGCATTTAATAATCTTTGGAAATTAAAAGCTCATCTTAATTACATTTATTTTTTTTAACTATCATTGCACTTATACAACTACTATTGCACCTGTATATTGAACTCATATTAATTACATTCCTTTTTTGGAACTACCATTGCACCTGTACACTAATATCATTGCACTGATACAACTACCAGTGCACTGAAAAAAGGAAACTAATTAATATGTGTTTTTAATTCATACAGATTTTTAAATGCAAAGGAAATTAATTACCTTAAAAACCTATAATTAATAGGAAGTGTCATTTTTCCAACCCTTTTAGAGGTAGGCATGCTATCTCATCCCCCACATGGGGCAGTGGTGTTCCAAAGAACCAATGGGAATGGTGGTGGTTTTATGGTTTTCCTAATTGAAACCGCCGGTAGACCCAGCGGTTTTAGGTCGACAAATGGAACTGCCGTCTTCCTCGGTGGTTTGATTTGCCGACACACAAAGCGCCTCCAGGCGGTTTGTGTATCGTCCCCTTCCTCTTAACAACCGACATATCGACATGCAGGGGTTGTAGATGTGGGGTTTGCATGTCAATTTAAAACCGCCACCCCCCCCCCCCCCCAGCGATTTTCACTTGACATTTTGTCGGGAGCGATTATGGTGATTACTACAAAGTAATCACCATGGTTACTAAGGATAAATTGGGTATGAAAAAATAAATTGTATTGATTAATTTTTTAATAAATTATATTTTAGCCAGTTACAAAAATAGAGTTAATTACAATTCTCTCTTTTTCTCTAATTTGCGTAATCTTTACCTAGATCTCGCCTTATTTTTCTTAATATTTCTGCAAAAAGAATACGAAAAAAATAAGAAATCACTACCAGTCCATTAGACAACCACTACCACTTCGAAAAACACCAATACCATTATAGAAGAAAAAAAACAAGAAATCAATATCAAAACATAAAATCACTACCACTACCACAACATATATCACTTATTAACCAATAATAATTGAGAAAAGTGGAGAGAATGGCGGCGGGAGCCATTGTCGAAGAAAATTTGAGAAAAAGTGAGACGCATGAGAGAGGGTGGTATTGGGGTTTGGTTATAATATGTAGAAATTTATTTTATTTAAAATAATAATTGGGTTGGTATATTTTTCATTTCCAAAATTACTCTAAATTTCATCAATACCGTTAATTTAAAAATAGAATAAAATAGAAATAATCAAGAATGTAGATTTTGGTAGCCACCGCGGTTACTTAAAATTAAGTAATCACACTAACGTATTCCACATTTTGCCTATAAAAGGTCGTACCGGGAACCTCAATTCTTCACTCACCTCCTTCTTTATAATTTTGTTCTGTTTTTTACTTTTGTCTAGTTTTTCGATTAACTTTACTTGGTAAGTTCGTTTTGTATTACTTTTTATTGAGATTTGTAGTTTTAAATGCTTCTCATTCAAAAAGTATTCATGTGTATGTCTTTCACAAATTTTATGGTATTAATCTAGTTACTGTTTTATTGCAGATGACATTCCAAAAGTTCACGCTTGGGTTACGGTGGAATAGTTACATGAAAGAGACTAAAAAGGGAGTGCGTTACGTCAGTGGTTGTTTTTAGAAAGCGAAGGTTCCTACGAGATCAAACCTAGTAGAGCACCGTCAAATGTGTACTATGGCTACGTGCATGGAGGGCTCGAGGAGAGTTGATCCTATTGTGTATCGATATCCAAATAGACAAGGCGGGTCATTGTGGCATGAGAAATTGCTCATAACCACTCACGAGGAAGTTGATGTCATGCTCGAATTTATGAATATCAATAACATTTTCAAAGCGGAGATGTTTGTTTACACCGAGTAGTTTGAAGGCGGTGGAGGTCATTCTGGAGATGGCCAAACATCTGGTATCCACGGTGGGGGTGGAGTATATGAAGGTCATCACTACGAAAGTTACCATGATCATCATTCCTACCATGAGTACCAAGAAGGAGGTGGAGGTCATCATCAATCCTTCCCATCGTATGAAGGAGAAGCCCAACGTTACCATGACAACCAACAAGAATGCTACTAGTACCAATCCGAGTACAACTTCCATGCAGGCAACGGTAGTTATCACAACTACCATTATGGAGCTGATGAATGTATCTTTCATGATCTAGATGAGATGGAAGATCTATTGCCAGGTGCAGAGCAGTTAGTGACCCTGAGGATAAATAAGATGAAGGTGATGTTAGCCCGTGGAGCGGATGCAAACAAATGTGTTTTTTCTATAGTCTTCGCCATTGTTGAGGGATAAAATACCGAAAGCTATGGATGGTTTTTTCGACAAATTCACCTCCACGTCCCCAAGAGGACGAACCTGAGAATCATCTTTAATCGCCACGGCGGGATCAGAGCTGTCATCTTAGACTTGGATCCAGCCTGGAAGTGGTCCCAGAGGTGGTGCATACGACACTTCAAGAGCAATCGAAATCATCATTTCAAGCTGAGGAAGCTTGCTGATAATCTATGGTGGACTGGTAAGTGTTCTATTTCATTGGAAAGAGTATTTTGTTAACTGTTAAATCATATTGGTTATTTCCAAAGATTTGGGCAAATACAGTACAACACTTACGTTGACTCTTTATAAAGAGATGCACGTCTAAGGAAATAAGGTCTTAAGTTATCATCGTGATCCCCATTTCCTGGAAAAATCGGGTCTTAAACGATCCTTGGATCCCCCTTTTTCTGTCATAAAGGTTGTTTTTCTAAGGAGATGGATCACCTTTCCTAAGATTCTAACAAACATATTCGATTAACTAAAATTAATATCATTTGAAAGATATATACATAATTTCGTCAAACATACATAAATCAATTAAACCAAAAAATTGAAAATAACAAAATGAATACCATAGTTTTTTTTGAAAGTTATACACATACACATAAATCTATTATATTATTTTTTTAAGTTCGTATAGGTTGTTTTCAATGATTTAATCCAATACAAGTACACTCGTTAGAGTCTTAGAAGAGGTATACATCTCCTTATAAACACAACATTTTTGAAAGAAAAAGGGGGAATCCGAGGATCGCATAACACCCGATTTTCCCAGGATATGGGAGGATCAGGATGATCGCTTAAGACTTCATATATTTTCTTAGGCATGCATCTCTTTATAAAGAGTCTAAGTAAGTGTCACATTGTATTAGACCAAATCATTGAAAATAATCAATACAATTAACCATTAAAAAATTATTTTATAAACTACAAAGTATGTTAACAAAATAAAATATGACAAAGGTTGAAGAACTATATGTACCTCATGATCGTTCCCAACATCCCTTGAATGATGGTTAGGTTGGTCATACAAAATGCTCGCATCTCTCGGTCATTGATCAAGATAATATCTTTGATTATATATGTCCACGTCCTCCCCAACCTATGATAGTACTCGGACCGCCTGGTGAGGGGGCAGTTTAGACATTTTACTCCAAACGAAATTCCCCGCCAAGGGTTTTCACATCTCAAATTTAAACCGTGTAGGGAGGGAGCGGCTCCTGCATCCAAGACGTGGACCGCTGAGCTGGTGAGCGGTCCGTCGTTAGATCGCGTCTTCATCCGACAGTTTCGGAGACCGCCGCGTGGTCAGGCGATTTTTTTGGTCGCCCTAATTGAAACCGTTTCCCCTCCGAGTGGGTCCCGTGTAGACCGTGCATTCTCCATGCGGTTTGTATCAAATGATTGTATGAATGGAATTTTTTAGATTAGGATGATATTTTTGAAAATTTAGTCTAATGGTGGTATTTCTGAAAAAATATCAATAATTTGTGGTACCAGTCCATTCTTCTCTGCTTTTTAAGTTTGGTATTTACAGGTGAACACGATTTAGGTCATAAAGCGGCCAGGAAATGGATGGGGATACATACGCAAAGAGATATTTGATGTCATAACCTTGTGAAATTGTACCGAAATGGAATTGGTGAGGTTAATGATTAACATTGAACACTAAAATGGACAAAACATCTTAATCAGCCTATCATAAACCCTAATTATAAGATCCTCATGATATCATCTCCATTCTCCGGTATACGGTTTAACTAGTGCGATTGAAATCATTATATTTTTGGACTGCCTTGCCATTAACACTCAAGAAAAGTAACCACTGTACAAAACCCAAAATTTAAACCTCCTAGTAAAAAAATAAAATAATAGAAGCTTTGAACTCTTTTTTTTTCTCCAAAATATCACTCGTATTATCGAGGAAATAGACAGATGCAAGAGAGTTACATGACCGAAACTAGACAAGAAGTTAAATCAAACCCCACCAAATGGGAGAACAATAACCAAAAAGATTTAATACACTTGTACATCCAAAACTTCCACGGTTGTGCCAATAATATTCAAATTTCCCGAAATACCACTTATATCCATGTTTTAAAGTTGTTCTTTGCAAAATCTATCTATTTCCCAATATATTTTTGGTTAAATACACTTGTATATCCAAAAATACCTTTAAAGAATGTGAAAGAATTGGATATAAGTGGTATTTCGGAAAATTTGGATATTATTGGCACAACCGTGAAAGTTTTGGATATACAAGTGTATTTAACCAACCAAAAATGGTCAAGAAGTAATTTCAACTCATTCTACACAAGTCGACCAATTTAAGCAACGCTACAGAATATACAATATTGATGAGTTGATGATATAACGAAAATATCCTACTCCTATTAACGTTCTTATCTCACATAGTTATTATACGCATAGGCGGAGGTAGGGCAGTTTGCCCTTGTCCCAGGACGGGGGCAAATTTTGGGAAGGAAAAAAATAATCTTATATATGTTTGAACGGATAATAAACTCAACACTTACAAGTAATATAAGGATATGTTGGCACTACACTATAATTCATTACTTGTTCATTAATTGTCAAAAAATAATTAATTTATTGGTTTGATTCATGACACTATTATTCGACAACAAATTGTTGGGTATTATAATGATTTTATGGCTGATGAGAGATTTGTTGGATTGAAAGAAATTGATAAATGATCTCAAATAATGGTGGAGACAAAAGTGCATATGTTATATCGGTCAATTTATTTGCTTCTGAAATTAGTTTTGATACTACCAGTTGTAACTCCGAACGTAAAAAGAGCATTTTTATATTGATATATTAAGAACAAGTTTCGAAGTCGAATTGATGATCAGTTTGTTAATAACTGTTCAGTGGGAATATTGAAAGAGGCTCACTTAAGAGTGTAAACAATTAATGTATTTTGTAATTCCTTCATAATATGAAAACTCGTCGTGGTTGTTTATGCAAACAATAATTGTATTAATCACTTATTTCTTTATCTATTAATGAATTATTTGGATATTATTAATTTTAATTATTAAATTTTTATATTTTATATTTTGAAAAAATGACAAGGGTAGTTCCAAATCCTGCATCCGCCACTGATTATACGTATTCACATATTTCATAACAAGTATCAATATTTGTGAAACAACCTGATAAGAGGACAATATAAGTAAATATCCGACACAATTAAAATTTAAGTTGAATAAATGCAACAATTCGATAAGTTTATTAGTCCTTGCTCGCTATATCTTATCCTCGATGTAATTTGGAAAAAGAACTTTTGGTTATAAACCCTAGACTCATGTGATTATCTCTAAAGTGATCATGTGTTGCGTACTTGAGGGACAAGAAGATGTGGATCCATGGAAAGGCCAATAGGAGTAGGAACCGAATCAGAAATATGAGGAAAAGAAGAGGTTGGATTGCAACGATTGTGAAAATCAAATAGATTACTACAGATAACCATGTTTGTCTCGTAGTACTTCCACTAACCACTGTAAGGGTTTAACAAATTAATATGCCAATGCTTTACATATAATAAGAGCTAGGCTGAGAATGAAAGTGCATATATATGGGGCAACAGTAGTGGACTTCTTGCTGTTCAAGTTGCAGTGACAGAGTAATGTGCAGCTATAGGTGCAAATAATTAACTACATATATACACTGATTTTCACAATCCTTATCCTCTGTGAATAGTTAGTGAATAAACAAAGGTATGGCATTCCACTTTCAGAGCTATGATGGAGTGGGAAGATCATCATATCTCCCAACAGATCTTGGAGGAGTAAGCAAGTGGGTGCTATAGATGCTAGATGGCCAAGCAACAACCTTAACATAATAAAAAAGAACATACCAGAATCATTCAAGTACTCGAAGATTTTGCTTTGCTACTGAAAAGCACCCACTGGATCTCTTGGTTTCAAGCGGCTGATACATGCCACTTGTTCTGCTTTTTGTTGCTTTCCCAATAACTTAGCTAAGCATATGTGCAATGTGAGCAAAATTATCAAAATGAATTGAGTATTTGAATACTACTTTGAGTGAAGATGGAATCACTTTCATGGGTTTTCTGAGCAAACTCTGTACGTGTGTGCTTTCAATAGTGCTCTTGGAAGGTGTAAAGATGAGTACATTAGAAAGAAACATAATACCCAAACATAATTTCCTCTCCGAGACAAAAATTAGCGTCGTTATTAATACGTAACGTGTAGACTCCTGAACAATGGTGATCGAAGCAGCTTCTATCCACTAACGAAGAAGTCAAAGAAGAATTGAGCCGGTACACATTCCCTTGCATAGTGGTGGAAATGATTTGAAGATGGGTTGTTGATAATGGTTGCGAGGTTTGAAATCACGATCAAAGGGAGAATACAGATCCTATTAAGTGAGATTGAAAGATATACTAGGAAGCAGAAATTTGAATCTTTTGAAACGAAGTAGACACAATCGTCGAAAAAGAAACCCCTAGTGACAATCACCCTTACTCGCTCTAGACGGAGAAACGAGGTCTCTTCTGCACCAAAACTGTGCCGATTGTTGAGTTCACGCTAGTGTAGACTGTAGGTAAGCAATTATATGCATGGTTTGTCAAACCATATTGAACGTTGTGAATAAGTTGAAATGGGGGGAAAAATCAGAGGTACAACCTTGATCTATATGGTAGCACATTAGACAATCAGCATCACACACCGATATAACACTGACAGAAAGAGCCTTTTACTATGGCGAATTGCCAATTGAACAGCGCGAAACCAATTGACATGAGTTTTCATAATACTCGTGAACCGATGGGAAGAATTCTCGACAAGGGTAGACAATAACAGAACCAAAGCCAAATGGTTGCCTATAGATTGTTTTCTTCAACACAATTTATTCTATGGTCGCGCACAAGTTTAAAACAGTACCAGAGAAAACTGGGGCGACTCGTCCTATAATATGATGATGATGATAGCTCCACAACACCAAATGAAGGGCCAGGGACCTTTGAACTAAAAAGAAGAGAAGATGAAACTAAGCCAATACACGTACGCTACGGCGACAAGAATTCTGTACATCATCCAATTTCTTCGTCTATGCACTATATGGTACATATCCTTTAGAAACAGCCCTTATCTTTACCCCCAAAACATCTCTGTTCTTGCCCACTGCACCTTAGTTTTTAACAGCATGGGATTCAATAAGCCTGTGCTGTGTGAAATGGTGACTCAGTTCTGCCAAGACCTGGTTCTTTTTCTAGCTACTCCTAACAAAGGCGAATCTCCAACCGACCAACACATGTACGTTCATACTTTCCATAATCATCGAGACAAAGTAGCCACAGGAGGCTTTATGATGAAGGGGGATGATTACCAGCTCGGGATGTCTAATTATTCCGACTGATGGAACGAAAAAATGCCAGTTGGGTAAGGCTCCAACTTGGAGATTTCATTGCTTGATTGTACGGAGCTCCCAGTTTCCCTCGCCATCAATAAGACGTAGTTCCATTGAGTGGAATGGAATTAGAGCAGGACGCTGGCACGCATAAGATAACAGATAAGTGAAAGCGATCAAACATTAAGTGAATTACATTAACTTTATAGAAAACTAGAACAAACAGATCGAGCAAGGAGGATGGAAGGATGAATTTTACCTGAGAGGAGGTAACCACCGTGATACCCATTTCTGTAGCAAGTCTATAAAGTTGTTCCTCAACATCCACACTCGTAGCACTGCAGAGTGAAACACAGAAGAGAATATCATATGAATAGATTTGAGGAAACACTGCCACCTGACAAGCAGCTTCGCAATGTTACCAAACATGTGATGGTTGACATATTAAAAGAATGTGGCATTTTCGACATACTTTGTGCACTCGTCGAGGATGCCAAATTCAGGACTGTGGAAGAACAGTCGGGCCTAGAAAAAATAAGAACAATGAATAGCTTAGCCGAAGAAACGGCACAAGAATTCCGAGACATTATTTTGCACAAGGTTTTTTATTCCTAACATGGGGTTGGGGGGACGCTTACCATGCCCAATCTCTGTTGTTCACCTAGAGAGAGCATGTCTTCCCAGTTCTGGTTAGAATCCCAACCACCTTGTTCTCTCTCCAAAAGATAATTCAGTCTAACATTCTCCAGAATGATTCTCAGACGAGAATCCAGAACCTCACTTGCGTCAGCATGTTCATAAACTGAATCTGCAATCATAACCACCAGCGGAAATTGACTGAACCGAAATCACAAATAGCAAAGATGGGGAAAGCTTGGAAGCTCAGTAAATTCCTAGAAACCTATTCACCCACAATGAAAAGAAGTATATTTCAAGAGAACTGTCATCATCCAGCTGCTACTTTCAAAGGCCATGACAGAGGAGTAGTAGCTTTTGTCAAGAAGCTAAAAAATCGAACTCATTACGAGTGCCTACTAGTCCAGATACCATCAATAATTAAAAATCGGAACGGGCTGATTAACACTGCATATTCCTCCGGTTACTGACCACATAAATCCATTTCCATATGCAAAGTCATCAGAATTACGGATCCTAAACTGGGCATAGATGAAAGCTGTAGATAAGTAGCTGATGGATGTATTGCTATTCACTGATGCAGAGAAATAATCCTCATTCACCTCAGTTTCAGGGCAGGAAACTCCATACCAAACCGATGCATTTAACAATCATCCTTGAAATCCTTTAGGTACATTAGGCACAAGATAGCACAAACAATGCCTTCAGAATCACCAACCCAACAAATAAAAAAGCTACATCGCTATCCTATATTGATAGCAACAGCAATCCTAATGCAAGGAACCACTCACTGAAAGAGTGGTCTTTGGCACTACGACTCATAGTTAGAGTTGTTAAACATTGAGAATTTAGAATAGACACAAAATCCACTGGTCCTAAATCTCAAGAGATAAAAGATGAAAATAATAGCTCTTGATCTAAAAGATACACACATATGTTGAACTGAACTTACCTTTCCCAAACAGTCTTAGTGTCCTGATCGTTGCTTCCTCACGTGATAGAGGATATATGATTTGGTCTCTCAATGTTCCCAAACATGTGTAAGGTCGTTGGGGGACATAAAAAATGCCGCACCCATATCCTTTCTCTTCGCTAAATTGTTGCAATGGTTTAGCTAGTCCTCCATTCGCAATTGGCCATAGACCTCTAAGCACCCTGAAAATTGAACTCTTTCCACTGCCATTTGGACCTTGATCATTGAAAAGAGCCACATCAGTTGCAAGTCAACACGGCCCAGAAACATAATAATATGCAAAAAGCAAAAGAGCGTAAAACAATAAATGAAATCTACTAACCAGTGTCCATCAAAAATAAAAATCTACTAACCAGTGACAAGCAGGCTTTTCCCTTGTACAATTTCACACGTCAGCTGCCATGCCAACAATTTCTGTGACGGGGTAATAATATCAGCCTCGATAAAGGATATTGCATCTTTTGAGTGAAGGTATCGTTCCGAAGGCATGGAAAGTCTATCTGTTAAGCCGTCACCTGTTTGCAAACATAGTGTTAAGCCAGGTGCACAACTGCTGGACCACACAACCCGCACCTCGTTAAGGGACCAAGAAAAATATTAAAGAAAGTGCAGTAAGTGGTTTTAGTTGGTGCAGAAAATTACGACAAACAAAAGTTAATGCAACTACACGTCTCATAGGCTCATAACAGTAAACTTCAGTCCCCAGACGAGTGAGAAAATTAGACAAATGATCAGCTTTCAGAAGATGCTTTCAAACAGCAGTAAATTTAATTTAAGAAACTGGAAGGCCATTGTTTGCTTGATTTTTCTTCTCCTCTTCAAATAATCATCTAAAATAGATTGAATTTTTCTTCTCAAGAACCAAATCATTTCTACAATCCACTTATTCCAAAGCCAAGCTTTAAAAAATATGTACATTCTAATGATCACCGATTCCAAATAACCCCAAAATTTGCCTCAACTCAACAGTCCATGGTAAAACTTACTTTCCAGCAAGAAACATTTATAGCTTAAGTATGATCTTACTATGAAATAACAAGCCTCTGCTGTCAGAGGTGACAAGTGAGACTCAATCACGGACCCCCTAACCAGAGCTATCTGCGGCATAAAATTCCACTTTTCATAATTTTGCATCACATCCACTCACTCAATCTATTTCCTCTTAGTCCCCTGATGGTTCTTCAACCCTGACACTTGTCAATCCAATTCTTGAAAACAGGCACAGCAGTTATGTTTTCATCTGAAGAAGTAAAGTTCAAAGAACCCCTACTTCCCTCGTATCACTCTTGGAAATACATCACTTTTCGAATTATAAGAAGCAGAGCCAAGTAGCAACTCTCGGAAGAAGAAAAAATCATGTACCAGATTGTGCAGCATCGAGAAGCTCTTCAAGCTCAAAAATTCTGTTAACGCCACCAGAGAGCTCAACAAACTTCTTGTGCAACTCAAGAATGTCTCCAAAGGCAAAAAAACTCTGAGACACCACAGATGCCAAATACCGAAGTGCATGTGCCAACTCACCTGGAAAGTAATTCAACAATTATTATAAAAGTAATTCACCAGAAGAAGATAGTTTCTTCTCTGCTACACATGAGAATAATCTTACCCTGAGTGGAGATCATTGCACGGTCTCCTTTGTGTTCCACGGCATATAACAGGCTCAAACCCCAAGTCACATTGTGTGGCAGCTGCTTGGTTACAAAATCATCCAATATGCCATACAACCATTTCTTTTTCAGAAGAAATGTTGAATGCCGCAGAAGCTCTTTGAACCTAGACTCGATCATCTGGCCAACATATGAAGTACAAGAATTGAAGCACCGCAAGGCATTGAAGACATGACAGACTACGGAAAAACTCTACTGTACGCCAGAAGTCGCTTAAATTAAGACAGAACCGAAAATAGAACTCCAGAATCAAGTTAGATACACTATCTTGCCAGCTGATGAATACAGAGGCATACCGTAACAATACCAATGCAACTGTACCAATGTAATTTACAGTCTTCTAGATAAAGGTATATTCAGAAATCAACTGTCAAATCAGTTGAAACATAAAAGTAAAGTCAAATGCTGTTTAAACACATACTCGATATGATGATGAAGTCGAGATCCTTATCAAAAATCATTACCGGTTTGTATCTGTATCAGATTTACTAACGGTAATAACTTCCAATCACTGTACTATGAGCTTCAGGCAATGTACTTCATAATTTAAAATCCAGCAATCACAGTTTCAATTCAGTCTACCCTTTTTTGGAAGTAAGAATCTTGGCTCCGACATCTTTTACTAGCTGGAATATCAAACATTGATCCTAGGACTAGTAGCGCCAAAGACAAAGTAGCTAAGATGGGAGATAACACAGTGAAATTCCTTTGTAGAACTACTATAACGTAGGATGTCCTCTGTGCTAGTAATGAGGATCATTTATCCATAAGCGCCACCCAGAGTTTAAAGTAAGAGATGATAGTGGAGCATAAGTGGGTAAAGGATAATGGAAACCGAGTTACTACAATCAAAGCTCTAAAGAATCATAGAAGAGCAAACCAAAACAAAGTATTATATACTAGGGAAAACGAGAAATCTGGTATTGACAACCTGCAATTCATCCCTTCGGATTGAATAAGCCTACTAGGTTGAGGTGCAGAAAACCTCATCTAAGGAGAACTGAACATAAAGCAGTCACCAAAGCAAAGTTGGCAAACCTGAGACATCAAGATAATTGCTGAAATGATACTCTAAAGTGTCGTGGTTCAAGTGACTTACAGCTTTTTCTCGAGCACCACCTCCAAAGAAGGCAACAGACTCAGCATGTGTTCTCAACCTTTCATGCATGAACCTAAATTTGTTTACAAATAGGGTGAAAACTTGACAATTGAACAGAAACACCATTAATGTAAGACTTTGCTGCTTGTCTTGAACAAGGGAAACAGAAGTCGCAGTGAAGTGAAATGCAGAAGAACATTACCTGAAGGTTCCCTCAAGTTGCTGCTCCTGGCTAGCTAGATCACCGAAATCAGGAGTAACAGTCCGTAGAAAACCAAGACCAAGTAGCATATAAGCATATAAAATGGTAACACCCCTCCGACCTGTTAAAAGCTTCATTCTCCATGTGAACCTAAGATTGAACAACAAAATTATACTCAGGAGGACATAATTGACTAGACAGTTGGTCACAAGAACGACAGAACATAACCTCATATTGACAAGTTCACATCCAGAAACAGAAAATTAGCAGCAATGCACTTACCATAAGATATCAACAGATGGCTTTACCATTCCAGTTACCAATCCAGATAAATCTGTAGTCAACTTCTCTAGATCATGAGTTATCCTCTGATCAGCATCAACATTTTTGCTTGACAAGTTAAATACCTGTGAGCAGAAGTTTTCTACATCACTATCATGTTAAGATAAACAAACGAGTGGTGAAACTGAAGCAATTGTCCAGGGCAGTACTGCCAACAGGCAAAGAACACAGGAATAAATCATACTAAAAAGCAAGCGATTAGAGAAATGGGAAAAAATTGGCTCTAATTATACTAAAGAGCATGTATTGGAATTCACATCACCGATAATTATTCACCCCCCCCCCCCCCTCTTTTTCCAAATAAAAATGGATCCTTAACAATATCAACTTCTATCAAGTAGTTTATGTACCCTTTTCTAGAATTGGCTAACATGTATGAATTTCTCATAACGATAACACCCTATCAGAAAATTCAAACAACCAGTAATAAGAACTGTATTGATCGTTCAACCAATTACCTTATAAAATGCATTGTTTCTCAAGTAGTTCTTTAGCAAATGTCGAGTCAAGCGTATCCTCCACTCAAGAGCAAGTCTTGCTGTCAAATGCCTACGATGAAAAGTTATGTCATAAAAGCCGTACCAGGGCAAATGGGAATACTGTATCACGTTCTTAGTACGTTATAAGTTAAAACGTTTATGCGGGATAACTAAGAGGAGAGGATTAATAGAAAGTGTGATAGCATTCAGATCTCATTTGTTTCAAGCAATAGAAGTTGCCTTTAGGAGTTAGTAGGACTGGGAGAATATGTTTAATCTAGACAGACCCAAAGTAGAAGAAAGTGTCTGAAAGGAGAAGTTGTAACGTATATTTTCTGTCTGTTTATGAAAATATGTGAATGCTATGGATGACCAAAATGGTCATTCAACTTTTACACTTTTTTTGGAAAGATAAAGGTCAGCTCCATGTCAGCTTAAAGTTGGATAAAGACGGTAGAAGTTAGAAGTCAGAAAGATGTGTATTTTGTTAGGGAAGTTCATTATTGGGTATTCTACAAGTGTTACTAAATGCTATATGTTGAAATGAAGATAGCATTAATGAAGGTAAATTCTTTCGCACAGAACAGAAGGTTTATTTCTATTATAATTACCTCAATGACGGTGCAATAAAAGATGATGCAGCACTCTGGAGAACACTGACACCTACTAAACGAACGAACGCTGCTTTATCTTGTTCCAGAACATACTTGACAGTTGTTCCTGCGATAGCACTCAGTAATAAGGATGGAACGCACAGGTGTTTGACAACGACAACAACAAAGAGTGGAAGACACAGAACTATAACATGAAGATATTTCTTAAGGGAGATGCCAGTACCATTTAGTGAGGCAATCCTGTCTGAGACGAAAGTTCTAGAAATAACCAGTAAAGCAACCGCAAGTAACTGCGCCCCTTGTTTGTCAAGCACTGTCGGCACCTGAAACATAAGTTATAAAGTGACTACAAAGAAAGATATCTACATAATTAATCCAAATTTTGAGCCATTGAGCAGACCATCAACCCCACAAGACAAAATCATGGAATATGGATTGCCTTACAGAACAGTGCACACTATATGAAATATGGACACAGTACAAGGAGAGCTCAATATAAGGCCACACAAGGAAGCTAGACATGAATATCGAAAGTAAATCTAACAAAAACAACAATACAGTGGTTTCAATAAAGCCAAATTAAAGTGGAAGGAACATCGAAGCAAAGGACTCACCAGTATCTTAAACATAGCAGCCACTCGCAATGGCAATGCCCGTGGATTTCTCTTTAATTGTAAAACAGAAGGCACTGGAACATTATGATCGAACTGTGGTGATCGTGCTATCACCTCAGAAATATAAGACTGTGCCTTCGAACTTGGAAATGTAGAGTCCTACATATAAATAACCATGAGCATTTGAGTGCGAAACTGAAAAGGGAAAATATCCAGGAACAAATACTACGTTGCTGAAGAGAATATGGAATAAACAAGACCTCATCAGTTGCGGCAAATGCACGTTGGACAACCAGTGCATCACTTTTACGATTTGTCTCAGAGTTCACGGCATTAGTTCCAGTTTGAGTAAGAGCTCGGGAATCCTTCCTGAAAATTTACAAGCCTGCTTAAGGAAATTACTGAATATTCAAGAAAGAAAGCAAATTACACTGCAATATCTAACCTTTTTTTGTCAACTTCCCACCCCCCTTCACCATCCAACGACAAAACGACATCGTGAAATGCAACTAAAGCTGGGCGATGTGATATGGTTATACATGACGTCCCCATAGCTCGAACTTTGGCACAAAAACGCTCCTCCATATCAGTTGTCACAGCACTAGTACACTCGTCAAGAATTGCAAATTTAGGCTTGTGGTAAAACAACCTTGCCATCCCCAACCTTTGTTGCTCTCCAAGGGAGAGTTCTTCTCCCCAATTAACTTCTTTCTCAGGGGGGTAGCGATCCAATAGATACTCAAGGTCAACCTGGAGATAGGCCAAAAACATTTTTCAAGTGACCATGCATTTCTGCACATATTAACACAGCTAGAGAAATATGAGCAATGGAGAAAGGTATACTACATTTTTCAACAACTCCACCATCCCACTGCGCGTAAGTGCTTCAACCTCTTGATCAGAGGTTAGAGGATAAATTAACTGATCTCGAAGTGTGCCTACAGCAGTATAAGGCCTCTGAGGAACATAGAAAATCTCCTTATTAAGCTCAGAACCAACACCTGGTTTGACTATATGGCCAGACACCAATGGCCAAAGGCCTCCAAGAACTCGGAAGAGTGAGCTCTTCCCACTGCCATTTGGACCTTCAACAGAAAAAATAAATAGGATTTATCTAGTGGCATAATGACAACACCGAATCCAAGAATGATTACATATAAGCCAATTTATTGACATCAGAAGTAAATAGACCACAGATACTGCACTTGATCTTAGCCAAAAGGCCGATAAAGGTTTCAGAAGAAAATAGACCAGAAAAGGAACACAAAGTAGCTTTACAAGAAGAAAATAATAATGATAGAGCTGATAAAGACAGTTGATGTGAGGTGCAAAACACAATTATCGTTAATCTTTAACTAGATTACAACTGTATTATTTGACCAATCAGGAAGAGGGAATTCTGCTTCAAGATATTTTTGAATTTTCTTGCTTGTATTTAATAAGTATTCTTATCAGTCATTATTACTTCCATCAGTAGGATTAGCATCCTCTTGTCTATAAATAGTTATACGTGCTGTGCCAGTGCTATGAAGTTCTAGTGTTTTCTAATCTAGAATAGTAATATCTCCACATCTTCGTTGATATTAGTTACATTTTAACCCACTTTTCACTGCATCTACAAACCATAAATGCTGAAAACATGAGATGAGTAAATAAGCTTCAAGAAAAACCAGATACTATTTCCAGAAAAGAAGAAAGTAACAGAATTTTTAACAGAAAACACTTAACGGGTTCGTGCAATCTTATTTTTCACCAACAGTATATGATGAAAGCTTAGTATGAACCACGAGACTTGATAAAACATGTTACAGCAAAATTCTGGGAGATACCTGTAATTAACAGGTTAGATCCAGGTTCAACTTTAAGACTCAGATCTTGCACCAGAACGTTACCAGTTGGTGTAACAACCTGCAAGGAAGAATTCAATAAGAACTTTGAACACTGAACTACTGAAGATCCCATAGCAGTTCAACTTGGTGGGTAAAAATACCTTGACGCCAGAAAACTCAACATAATCCGCATCACTGAAGTAGTTCCTACTTCCAACTCTTTGCAAGGACTTATCACCACTGCTTAGCTCTCTTGATATGGCAATCAGTTCATGAATCCGTTCAGCATAACCACTGCGATATAACAGAAATAACTATGCACATAAATCTGGTCACAAATAACAGGCAGACTAGCTATAATCTAAAGTCATGAGAAAACCATCAATAGTCATGCACCACAAAAACGTCACTGAGAAGTACCTTAGACGACTAAGCTTTCTAGAACTTATGGAAAGAGTACCAAGTGACTGAAACAAAGATATTATCACACTTGTGTGGTATCTTAAATTGCTCAACATTGTTGCCCTTCCCAAAGTTGAAGTGTCTGGTTTGAGACCGCCCGCAAAGAAAGGCTCAATGATCAAAATAACAGCAACAGTAGCACCAAGATACTTGGCCAGGAAATCCTGGATCATGCCAAACCACCAATGCTCGTGATGGACAACTTTCATGTGCTTAACAAGAGTTCTGAACTTTTCCTGTATATGAAATTCTTCTCTTCGTTCACCACCATAAAATGCTATACTTTCAGCATGAGTCCGCAAACGTGAATGAAGCTGTCTATATTCACCTCCTAGCTGCTGTTCTTTAGCCATCAGTTTCCCAAAAGAAGGAGAAAACTTTTTAATAAGGGCACCTGCTCCCAATACATAGCCCTGCAAAACCAGCGTCACAGGCAAAACTTGCAGCGTTTCAGCATATGAAACAATCAGACTAATGTGAACGGATTTTTTTTAAGATCACTCTCAAGCTATAACAATTACCAGTATGTAAACCAAATATTTTGGGCTAGCATAAGAAACAAGCCGCCAAGTGTAGAGAACCACATCTGTTACGGCTGTCAGATCATCTTGCACCAGCTCGCTAAGCTCTGAGCAAAACTTTGGGACATCACTTGCTATTCTTTGCTCGGGATTGGTGATCCGACCATCAACATGTGATAGCTTGTAGTATGCCATATTCTGAAAATAAGGAGTAAGATCTAAAGAATAAGACCATACAATAAGAGAGAAAAAAGGAGAGGCCAGAAACTGGATTCTCCATAGGAGCTCTTTGTGATGCCATTTTTATTTCAAAAGGGAAACATGTGCAATAAAAGACACCACTGCTACCAATTACAAGAAGAGATACAGATCCTGACTTTTTCTGTTAGCCTTTACTCAATTGAAAATGTAATCCTGCTGTTACAAGAACAGTATTCCTGAAATAGGTGCACCAATGAACACAATACTCTTAAACTCAAAAGACTAACCAGCAGGAATGCTTACCTACACACTCATCTTAAAAGCTAACCAAAAAAACCTGCTCGACAACTTCCATCATCTTAGGTAGCTAGAAAGACGGACCAATTGGAGACTGCTATCTAAGATAAGCTGGGATGGAAAAGTTACAGGCATTTGAGGAAGCTAACAATCACTCCATTCTGAATTCAACATCTTAAAGAGTACAAAGAAACTCCAAACATTAGCTACCAGCCTACAACTACCAAGAAGAGTTCACAGTTGCCAGCCTTCCTAGATCAACTGAAGGAAAATTTTAAAAAATACAATTTTTATACCCTGTTTAAGGGACACTCCTCGACCTCCTATCTTGCATGGAACTTGTTACCCTAATTCTTATTGATGGTTGGCAAGCACAGTAACAACATGTGTCTATACGTTGTGTACTTGTGTATTATCATCAAAGTAACAAGGTGATCAATCCTAGATCAAAGCCAGATGCAGCAGAACGCCTTCAACAAAAGCTGAAGTACCAGGACATAACAATGCTAGTTCTCTGTTGGAAATAATAAAACCCAGAAAAGGATGAAAGACATACATTCGGAACCGGTCACAGAGTAAACAGAAAAGCAAATGTCTTATATGGAATCAGTAACTCCCAATCCTAGTAGTAATTGCCTTACTGCATCAAATTAAATACACACCAGAAAACAGGCACAAATAGACCAGAAAAGCATAAAAATCATGAAGTGGAGTATAGCAATTATGTGAAAATATTTAATGAAAATTACTCAAATAAGAAACTTGTTATTTTACCAAGCAAAAGCTGGACATACCTCAAAATAATGTGTATGGATAAGTTTTGTCAGTATCTTTCTAAAACACAAGCTTAATGTCCCGGTAACATACTTTGAAGTCGAATGCATGGTTGATAGTAGGAAGCAGAGTAAGATATTTTCTGATATTAGTCGGAGAAACAATGGCACACGGCGGAGGAAAGCTGCACGAAACAGAAATCCTTGTACTTTCGCAAGTCTGTTGCTCAAACTAGTCCTTAACACCTGAGAAGAACCCACAAACTCAATAGTCAAAATGGACATGCTCAAATCTAATGGTGAGCAACCTCAATTGTAACGAATATGTGCTGCTTCACAAAAATGACTAAACATGAGATCATAACACACCGTGGAATGTTGAGCAAAATGGAAGTTCCAGGAAACCCAAGTGAGGTTATGAAAACATGGATCCCACAATTTCAAGAAGTAAAATGCAGGAATAGCACATGTGATAATGATAAACTATTGTGCTTAAAGAGAATATATGGAACTGCAATCAAGGATAGAAGAGGAAAGGAAAAGGAAAAGAAAGTTCTTCGTCAACTACTTTAAGAAAATATGTGGCTGCCCAAAACAAATAAGTCTTCACACCTAACATGTTTATACATGATAAACAAAACCAGAACAACTAAGAAATAAGGAAACCTTTGAAAGAAACACAAACGGAAACAAACAAAGCAAACATGCACAGAAAGGACTTACTGCAATGGCTATCATAGCCAAGAGGTCTGCTGTTCCCACTTTCCCCATCTCAGACAGAAGGACAGCAGCTAGAACTTTAAGCGATTTAAAACCTCCTTGCTTCGTGGTCGTCTTGGCATTATTGACTTTTGTAAGCAGCTTATCTGAATTTTCTTTAACATCATTGAGCCCATTGTAATTACCAAATGAATCGGACTTTTTAACCCTCGAACAAGACTGCAAATATGCAGTAGTTCCACCAGCAACCAAGATACCAGCAGCAAACAACAGAGATTTCCTGTATGGACACGAATGAGACCGAAAGGAAAGGATCAAAATTGATGAACTTGCAAGCATTAGAAGCTCAAGGAAGATGAGCAAAAAAATAAATAACCAGTGGCAAGATTCATCTAAACCCTAAAAGTGAAAGGGGAGGGTGTTGTCTCCAGAGAGGCAACTTTGCTGTCATTTCTCCTTTCTCGCCTATAACAGGAAACATCTTCCAACCCATAATTTTTTTGTGTCAGGGGTCCTTGGATTGGTCAAACACACGAGTGTGTTTGTTTTAGCTTTTGAATCTACAAGCACCCCCAAAAGCCAAGAACTGAGCTTTCGTATTAACACTCTATGGGCAGCATTTTACAACCAAACACGTCTAAAACATCTCAAACCTAGCATCAAGTATGTTACGAACAAAACCTGCAAAATCTAGTGAACTTCAACTCATTCCGGTCACACAGGATCCCAAATTATTTCCCTATCTCAAGGAGCACTGTATCAATAGGGAAGATGCTTTCTTTTAATTTTGAACATCACCAAAAAAAATCAACGACAATTTCAAAAGCCTAATCCAAGTAGCATATGCTAACTTGAAATGCAGTTGAACTTAAGTTAAAGCAACCAAAATTGAACCCCTGAATCAAAGTTTAAACCGAGAAAATGAATTCAATTGCAGGGGCCATGCCAATCTACCTCCCTAAACAAGCCAAGCTTATCCAAAGTGGCCAAAAGGAGAAAATCAGGGGTCGTTTGGATTGATCAATTGAAAAATGAGACAATATGGCCAATTGCCTCATTTTACAAAATGAGTCACTTAAAACGAGTCAATTTGAATTGTCTGGCCCCGCCCCAGACAATTGTAATTGCCTCAAAACGAGTCAATTTGTACTTCCCCGGACAGAATTGCTTCATCTAAATTTTGTGCTGCCAAATGGATCAATTTGGCCAGATTGTCTCAAAACAAAACAATTGGGTCAAATTGATCCGTTAGAATTCCTCATCAAACGACCCCTGAGTTAATTTGTTATGCATTGAGTCCTTTAAGTTCCCTCTTCAATCAGTACCTTGTAATGGATGATAAGATGAAGAAAGCAAATATGAATGCCAATGTACTTCCCACACGAAGCAAGCACATGACAATTTGGCAAGAATCATTAGTGAAAGACATATTCCAGGTTTCCCGGGGAGGCAGGCAGAGAGAACTAAATAAAAGCATCAGAGTAAAATACCTTCTGGAAGCCAGAAGGTCTCGGCCATGCTCCGTAAATTTTAATAGCTGGAGAGAAGGCATGGCTGAAAATATGCTGTCCCGTCCAACAGTTAGCACCAACTGCAGTACCTTTCTCCCAATATAAATTTATCAAAGATCCTGGAGAGATAATCAGATGAACCAATACCAATCAGGATGAAATCAGTTTCATACTTGTAAATTTAGAGACGAGGCATGGGCATGGTAGAAACAATAAACATAGCATTTTCCAACATTGCCAATAACATCTTATTTTACTGATAGAATCCCATTCCCATAGCATTCCTGCTGAACCATCTACGCCACTATCTTCACTTTCAAAGCATGACATTAACAAAGACTGATCAGAGGGCAACCATCTTATACAACATGATAGAGTAAGGTAATCAGATAAACAAGTTGAAGGTCATATGCAAAAATAAGCGCTGCAACATCTCCAATCAGAGTCCCCCAGTAAATATATACCACTCATGCAACCAGCAAAAAAAACTGAACGAGCAAGCATAAATGAAATTGCGGAAAAGTTAACCTCACAAATGAACAGCTTCATGAAAGACACAATATCGCCATACAATCAGCTATTGACATAAAGCCAAATATAGAGCCTCAAACTACCTCTGAGAAAGTACCTCGTACCAAGTACTAACCGTGCTCCATTATATTCAGCAATCTGCTACCGCACATACGTTCAAAAGCTCCAATTCCCAATAAAGAAACTTCCGATGCGTAAGAAAAATAAACCTTGTAGATGATGCTTGATATGAAACCGACTGCCTACAGTATTGCAAAAGAATCCCTCGTCAACCAGAATGTAAGTGAATAGGTTTCGTCCGAAAACTTACTAATTCAGGACGTGCTAGAAAGTAGCCAAAAGAAGCATATAAACCTGCCTCCCAACATTCAGAAGGTAAAAATCACAGCCACAGGTTCCTCACTTCCTCTAAATTCTCCCACCTCTCAAGCAAGTATCACTCAGCAACCTATTCTGATCCCACACTCCCTCAACACTAGGAACCCCATGAAAAATATCAACCAAGATACCAGATTGCTCGTTATACAAACTAAAGCTGCATTTATTCCATAAAAAGACACCAACTCTGACATCTACCTAGTTCACCTCCCAAGTTCAACATACGCAATAACAGCAAGATCAGGCTCAATTTTCCAATAAAGAAAGGGCAGCAAAATGAAAAACGCCCAATGAACCAATCCACTAGTAAAGTCTCGGTGTCTCAGTCCATAATTCTCACATCGGCTAACTGCAAAATTGATCCTGGAATCATAAACCACAATCTATGACACCATGCAAGAAGCTGTATAACACCTCCCAGGGCAGAAACCACCGACATACCTGGAAGTTAGCAGAGCAAGCTCTCATCCATCAGGGATAATAAAAAAGCAGCCAGAGTAGCCGTTCGTCCTCTCTTCAGCGATTCACTCAGAAGAAGAAGACGACGAGAAGGGAAGGGAAGGGACTGGATATTGATAGCGAGGAGGATGAATCAAAGAAAGCAGACAGAAGATCGAATCGAAAAAAACCCTAGACAAGGACGATGGATTTTTCTTCCATTCCCTGTATTTTCTTTCGCCAAAATAAGATTTTGCAGGAGAGAACAAAAGAGAGACCGAATTGAGCTCCAAAACACAGAGAGGAACACGAAGTGGATTCCCTTTTTTTCTGTTTTTAAAATATTTTGTTAATATAATATAGAAGAGAGAGAGAGAGAGGAGCTGGTTGGGGTGAACAAGGAAGTGATGAGAGAAGGGAAGAGGAGCAAAGCAAAGGAGACGGGCGATGGAAAAATAATAATACGAAATGATTAGGAAATAGGAAAAGCCATATCGTATCCCGGAAATGAATTATTTGTTTTTTTCAGGTATGAATTTATTACATTTCCAACTAATTATTTGTTTCTTCTTTGTTCCCCTTACCTACCAATTCAGTAATGACAGTAAATACCTTTTTTTTTTTTTTTGAAACTCGACAGTAAATACTATTGAGTAATGGGGGCAGATGTCTTTCTCTTTGTATCTTATTCATAGGTGTGTTCCCATATAAAAATTACCTTTTGGCAACTAGCAAGTGAGACCCTAGAATCTGATGTAAAGTGATTTTCTTTTACTAGGGGAATCTGATGTGATTAGATGGGGTAAAAACTAAAAACACAATATGAAAGTGAGATTAAGAGGGTATTATAGAAAATTAAAAATGTAGGTACTTTATTAGTTATAAAGTTAGTTGTTATGCTTGTGCTAGAAAATTGCCAGATATTGTAAATAAATGTATTTTACAAAAAAAATTACCGGTTCTTTCTATAAATTGAATTTATACTGTAATGTTATAGTATAAATCTACCTGATACTTATACTTTTTTGGACAAAAAAAATCTTATGGAATAAATTGAATTTGTACGTGTGATATTATGGTACAAATTCAACTTGTATCTATATTTTTCGTGCGAAAACATTTATGATACAAACGAACTTGTATCTTCAGATTTATCTTATGATTATGTGTGTTGCTTGCTCATGAGCAATACTCGGTCAGGGCCCGAAATACCCAACCGGGTAAACGAGAAGGAAGGATCGGGGAAAGTTGTTTTGGAGGCCAGGAGATCATAAGGGGACCCAGCCAGAAGGCATAAATACCCGATCGGGTATTCTGAACCTCGATCGGGTATTCCCTTTTCTCCACTGCGCTGCGTTTCAAAATACCCGGCCGGTCACTTGAAATACCTGATCGGGTATTGAGGCCGGGTATCGCGATCTGCCTCTTTTGAAGAGAAAGAAAGCCTCTTTTGAAGGGGATCCGATTTTTAGAGAAAAAAGCACAAAACCTAGAGAGAGCGACGAACAGAACTTCCAAGCACCCTAAATTGGTCTTCAACACCATTGGAACTCAGTGGAAGCTTGAAGAAGTGCAGATTGATTACCAGAAGTAGATTTTCATCCTTCAGAGAATGATTTCCGCATCTGAAGCAGATTTCTCTTCTCTCTCTATGGAGTAAACTCTCTCACTCACCTGGGTATGAAGAATCCTAAATTTGTATGTTAGGTCTGGTTGTATGAACCCAAGTACAAGTTCTTTGATACCGATTATATTCAATTGAGGCATGATTTTCTGAATTGCATGAATCCTGATCAAATTCCTGTAGTTTCTGCTTTGACCTAGAAAGAGAATATCCACCTAGGTTGATAGAGCACCCTTAATTGAAGGTAGTGAATTGACGACTTTAGTCAAGGAGTCGGTTCACTATTTTTGTACTGGATTTACTTCAGTAGAGGAGGTTTGGCACGTTAGAGCCTCAGTTTGTTTACTCCGGTGGAGGTTAGTCGCCCGCTGGGGATTCAGATTGAGAGGGTCTGGAGACCTTTAGTCAAGACTTCAGACTGTCTAAGATCCGTCCGCAGTATAATTATCATTGAAACTGGACTGGGTGAATTACAACTTGGCTTAACTGCAGTCTAGGGGGAACCATATCTGGGTGACCTTTCTCAAACTTGGAACACAACATTTACTGCTTTTGTTTGCTAGTTTAGTTGGAACTTCAATACAGTTGAACCGCTAAATAATAAGAGTCTCGCGGAGCAGTCATCACACCTAGGACCCGGGTTGACATTTAAACTCAAGCCAATATACTACGCATTAGTAGGTGGTTACACTTGGCCACTTTCTAGTGTGACAGTACAAGCGAGTCAGAACTTTAGGCCGAACTCGTGCTACAATGTTCTATAGAAGAGCATCACTAAAATACTTGCTAATAGATTAGCTAAAGTTCTTCCAAAGCTTATTAGTAAGTCTCAGTCGACTTTTGTAAAGGGTAGGCTCATAGGCGATAACATTTTAATGACTTCAGAATTAGTGAAAGACTATAATAAAACATATGTCTCTTCTATATGTGTGGTCGAGATCGATTTAATGAAGGCTTTTGATTTGGTAGACTGGGGGTTATGTTTAAAGTCATGAGAGCTACGGGGATGCCAATCTGGTGCAAGTTTGTGTCTCGTCTCCTATGTTTAGTGTGCATGAATGGAGGTCTTTTTGGTTATTTTGCTAGGGTAAGGGGCGGAGAGAAGGGGACCCTCTGTCCCTTATCTCTTTACCATCGCTATGGAGGTTTTCTCTTGTTTACTGCAAAGAGAAGTATCTTCATGGCATCTACCTTATCACCCTAGGTGAAAATCGCTTAACATTACACATTTGTGCTTCGTCGATGATCTTCTAGTATTCTCCAATGGATTTGAAGAGGTTGCGGAGAGAATCAAGCATATTCTCTCGAAGTTTTACTATCTTTCAGACCTTTAATTCGCATAAAATCCAGATTTTCTTGGCGCTATTGCATAAATGAATAAGCAGCTTATTGCATATAGAACTGGATTTCCTCTAAGTTCTTTTCCAATCAAGTACTTGTGGGTGCCCCTTCTCACACCGAAACTCTCGAAGGCTGATTGTGCTTTGTTAGTGGAGAAAATTACGGCTAGAGTCTGGGGATGGAAGAATTTATTATTAAGCTATGATGGTCGGATGCAGTTGATCTCCTCTGTTATATGTCTCCTTCCTCCAGGGGTTCTCCACGAGATTGAAGCTATTTGTAATAAGTTTTTGTGGGAAGTGAGCGATAGTGGATCATGGTCGAGAGCTCTTGTTGCTTGGAAGTATGTTTTCCTTCTCAAAACTGAGGAAGATTTGGGGATCAGGGACTTTGAGTTATGGAACAGAGCCTGTGTTATCAGTAGAGGTGTTCAAATGGTTACCATGGTAATTACCAAACCAAACAAGCTAAAACTCTATTGACCATGAAATACAATATCATAACCAAACCGCCCAAACTAATATAACAACCAAATTAAACAAACTAGAGTTTAATCAATTTGGTTAATTGGTTAACCAGATTAACCAATATAACATTAAATTATCATTAAGTGATAAAAAATTTCGGTTAATGCATCAATTCACAATTTATATGATGAATAAAATAGGCAAAATTCATCTGTGTAGTCAAAACTTTCACGTTTATGACAATAATAGCCACTTTTGGCGAAATACCAAATATAGCCAGAATTTTGAAAGTTTCATGACAAATATAGCCATTTCCGTTACATATTTTAGCGGCGTCAGTGACACCGTTAGTTAAACTAACGGAACGCTTATTTGGCTGCCAACTCAGCGGACACATCATCGACAACTCAACAACACTTGCCACATGGATGTCATGTCATATTTTAATTATTTTTTTTTTTTCGTTGAATCAGTTTCCTCATCCCATTAAGCAAAACTGGCAAGAAGCTAGGAGAACCAATTACAACGAAAGGGGTAAATCAACATTACCCAAAGAGACAAAAGGTCCCAGCATTCCACTATAGCTACACAAACCACAACTACTCCTACAAAACACAAGACACCAGCAAATGGGTTCAACAGGACCCTCACAAGACACCAAAACTTGCCAGCTCTTCAAGAATGCCTCTGCTTGCTCCAATAATTAGCAGATCATTTTTAATCGCCCCCTGCAAATCAGCCACGGAACGAGAGAGCCCCCCATACTTCTGCCTGCACCTCTCCTTCCAGATGGATGCCACCAGAAAACACCATATCATCCCTGCAATAGCACCATGTTTTTTCCTGCATAAAGTACAAGCAACTTCCACAGTAGCAGAATTGTCCAAACAAGAAAGCTATTTCTAGGAACAAATCCATGCCCCCAGACAAGTTTGTGCCATTCCACTACAGGCCACTTAGGTCTGATCACCTCCCAAACTGCACTTAATCGAAACCTGGGCATAGGGACTTGATTCCAAAGTACTGTTGCCCCCTGCACAGAGAAATGCTGCTGCAGAACACTTCTAGTTTTCAGGATCCTGCGCCAGGCCCAGGAGCCACTAGAACCAGACCTGATTGTCCAGATGCTACCCTGCTTAACCTTGTAGTTCATGATCCATGCCACCCATATAGTCCCACTCTGCATTAGAAGCAGCCATAACATACGAGCAGTGCAGGCTTGATTCCAGGAGTAGAGTTCCTTGATACCCAAGCCACCTTCTTTCCTAGGTCGAGCCATTCTGTCCCAGCCAATCTTGGCCCTGCCCTCCCCCTCACCATGCCACAAGAAATGAGAACATATTTTTTGAACCTGTTTCAAAACCTGTTTTGGAAGTAAAAAGACTTGCATCCAATATTGCAAGACTCCCATCAACACAGAAGTGACTAATTGAAGCCTACCAGCATAACTAAGCCTTTTAGCTCTCCAGGATTTTATTTTTTGAGTAATCTTTGCTACCAACTTCTCACATTCCACAGAAGATAGCTTACCTGAAATCAGTGGGAGCCCCACGTACCTCACTGGAAGTGCCCCCTCTTGAAAACCAGTCATTTGGGTGGCCCTGCTCTTGAACAACACTAACATACCCCCAAAATACACTTCACATTTGGCAGGGTTACACTTCAGACCCGACATAGTATAAAATTCAGAAAGAACCTCCTGCACTTTGGAAATTGCAGTCCCTGACCCCTCTGTAAATATCAAAAGATCATCAGCAAAACTCAGATGAGTTAGCTTCACTTTTTTGCACTGTGGATGGTAAGGAAGCCTCCCTATATCTGCAGATTCATTTAAAAGCAACGAGAGGCCTTCCATAGCTATGGTGAAAAGGTAGGGTGAAAGAGGATCACCCTGCCTAACACCTTTTTGTGCACCAAAATAGCCACATAGCCCCCCATTAATGCAAATACTGAATCTAGCAGTTTTTACAGTCAACTTTATCCAATTAATAAACCCAGCTGGAAATCCCAT